GGACGCCCGCCCCGAGTGCGACATCGCGGCTGCTGAAAAGGGGCCGAGTCGTAAGCCCGATGGACGCCGCGGTGGTAAGTGTGCTTGCTCGCTTGCGGTGAAAAAAACATCAGGAATCCTCTTCGTGGCTTGCTTGTCTCCAGCAGGACTCGTGAGCGCTTTTCACAAGATCTTCAGCGACCGCAACACTCTCAACATTCAGTCCATCGGTCACCTGGAATGTGCTGGTACGTTTTGCGTTTTAGATCAACATAATAACGAAGTAAACCCAAACCGAACATTGCATGCGTTCAAATAAACTTCAACAGACATTGCATGCAACGGCACGGAAGCATCTTGCTCCGATTTCACGAAAAAAGGTGATGCCACGTTAAAAAAAAAAAATGATACAGTTTCATATTTTAATTTGAACCTTGATAAATGTGATTTTTGCACTCACCAAAACAAAAGTGAAAAAATGTCAATACTGAAAAAGAAATCTGTGAAAAGATGAATCTGTGGGTGATGAGCAGTGAGTCATCCCTTGCACCTCCTGGTTTTTATTTTTCTAGAATTTGGAAAGTCAGATTATTTTTTTTTCGTTCATATTGATGATTTCATGTCGGTTTTGATGTTAAATCATGTTCTCTCTCAGAATCGACATTCAAATGTTTTCTCCGCCATTGTTGAATCGATTGCATTTTGATCTGCCGGCGGCCCAAATCTTGCGGATATTTGCGAAGTTTTCAAAAAGCGGCAAGCGATGAACGCATCCTGTTGGATGTCCACATTTGAAACCAAGGCCCGTTCACCTTGTTTGTTGTTTCAGGATCGTGTCCCGATTTAACGATGAGTAGAAGAGGCGCGGCGGATGCGCCGGCCGCCGCCCTCACGCCCCAGCTGCCCCCCCGGGCTCACCGCCATCGGCCCCTCTGCGTGTCGGTGTCGTCCGACAGCAGCGGACGCTTCAAAGCCCTCGACACGCAGGAGTGGAAGAACAACCTCAAAGCTCAGGTGCGCGATCATATTACGACGTGTCGAGGCGAGCCGCTCACTTCTGTATTGACAAATGCTTTCAAAACTGAAATTGTTCTTCAACACTCCTTCTGGTGAGACTCTATTCAACAACAAAAAAAAAAAGAATTTTAACCATCCATCTAGTATCTGAGCCACAAAAAAAAAAGAATTTTATCCATCCATCTAGTATCTGAGCCATTATCCTCACCAGGGCTCGCGGGCGTGCTGAAGCCCATCCCAGCCATCAGCAGGCAGGGGGACACCCTCAACTGATTGCCAGCCAATCGCAGGGCGCACATACAGTAGACGAACAACCATTGGCGATCACAATCGCACCTTGGGACAATCTAGGGTCTTTGATGAACCGACTATGCATGTTTTGGGAATGTGGGAGGAAACCCACTCAGCACGGGGAGAACATGCCAACCCCACACAGGAAGGCCTGGAATCGAACCCCAATACCGGCAGTCTCCTCACCATCCTCGTGGGGGCAGTCATTCCCCCCAGTATTCACAAGAAGAAGGCAAAACAAGACGCGTTTCCGGGTTGGCTCGCGCTGCTCGGCTGGCGGAGCGGCTAGCTTGCTAGCTGGCTGGCTAGCTCCAGAGAAATAGCCGTTTAACGAGTCTAACAGGAGCTTGGCAAAGTTAAATCGCGTTTGTCTTGATCGGAGGTCAAATGCGGAATAAGCTTGGAAAGTCGTGAAGGAGTGACACATCGCCGGTTAGCACTGCTAACCGGCGGCGACTGAGCGATCCGCCCCCGACACGAACAAGTTCCGTTAGCATGGCGACAGTTGCTAAGGTGTGACGACATGACGTGATTGCCCCACGTTGATTTGCCCGCTCCACACTTTCGCGGCTCATGAGTGCGCCTCCGTCCGATGGAGGTGGCGCGTTGCCCTGCTCGGCCGACGAGATGACGCGACGCTTGAGCCGGCGGCTGCTTGTGCCCTTGTATGCAGGAGGCCCGACATGGACGCCCGCCCCGAGTGCGACATCGCGGCTGCTGAAAAGGGGCCGAGTCGTAAGCCCGATGGACGCCGCGGTGGTAAGTGTGCTTGCTCGCTTGCGGTGAAAAAAACATCAGGAATCCTCTTCGTGGCTTGCTTGTCTCCAGCAGGACTCGTGAGCGCTTTTCACAAGATCTTCAGCGACCGCAACACTCTCAACATTCAGTCCATCGGTCACCTGGAATGTGCTGGTACGTTTTGCGTTTTAGATCAACATAATAACGAAGTAAACCCAAACCGAACATTGCATGCGTTCAAATAAACTTCAACAGACATTGCATGCAACGGCACGGAAGCATCTTGCTCCGATTTATTTTTTTTTTTGGAACCATGTTGACGTGAGGGAAGGCGCTACGTCGTTGCGATCGTACACCCTCCGTAGGAGAAAAGAAGCGCTTTGCCGCCGCGTCCGAGATGCGAAAGTCGCGTGGGACTCGGTGCCACACAAACGAGTTCGTGTGTGTGTGTGTGTGTGTGTGTGTGTGTGATGTCCCGATCAGATGGAGCAGGCCCACAGCGCAGGCGCCGCCAGCAGCACGGGCTCCCTGGAGCGGGCGTCCCTCTTCTGCGCCCCCGGGGGGCCGTCCAAGGCCACGGCTCGCTTCTCGCTCTTCTCGCCGCCGTGGAACGTCAGCTCCGAGTCGGACTCCAACCCGCCGTCTCGATCGGGCTCCAAGAAGCTGCGCAACTACAGCCGGCGGGCGGCCACGGGCCCGGCCGGCGCCCACGAGCAGCCCGGAGGCGAGGCGGGGGCCCC